TACATGTACATACCACTTTCACAAAAAAATAAATGACAAAAACAGTAGAAAAGTATTTAGAGAAAATAGACAAATTATACATATCATAGCCAAAGACTGGTGGAATTCCTGAAACTTTGTCTCTCGCATAACAATTATTTACAATAATTTTAAGGCACCAATTAATACATTTCATATGTGAAGCAAATAAATTCAATGTTTTTTGTATAGTACAGGATTTAAGCAATACTTTCTCACCTGCTTGAGGGCTTCTTTGGCTATTTCAGTTTGTAAGATGGTTTGATCTACTCTAGTATCTGCGTCAAGATGCATGTATTTCCTTAGTTTGTAGTACTCTTGTAGTTCTATTTGCACACGGTGTAAAACCTTATTTGCCTTCTCCACTGGTAGGAATAGCAAAATCGCTCTGGAATCAAGTAAATAATTCCTTTAATTTGAATGAAAAATAGTGCACCTCAAGTATTGACACACATTATGGATAGGGAGGAGTTCAACATGCATACTTTTTGCAAGTCTCAAAAGTAACAGAGTCTATGCAGACAATTGCTTGATGCCCTATAAAATAGTCAAATATTCCCCTTCACATTTTCAATCAGTCAAGAGAATTTTTCGAAATTTTGGCCTTGAAATTGGGTACCCTCAAAAGAGTCTGTGTTTTGCATTGTAACTTATAATTGATCTTATTATAAAATATGCTATGTTTGAAAACCAGAATTACATGTTTAGTAAAATACTGGTTTTAAATTTGCTATTTTTGCTATAAATGAAAATCCACTTATAAAAAAAATTTATGACATGGTCAGGTCAAGGTCAGGGTTTACCAACATTGATGCTTTCTGTTAAACTGTGGTTCTGCAATCCTTGGTATATTACCGTTGTGTAATGGTAAATATATTTTGAATGGTCAGCCAAACTCTTATTATGATTACAAACATTACCTTGAATAGACATATTTGAATAAACCTGTGATTGACAGACATTTGGAAGACACACATGGCTGTTGCCACGGGTCCTACTATTTAACGCCCGGACACACGAGGGAGTATTGCGGGGCAGCGGCAGCAATCCTTGTACTGTATAATATTCGTTTATGCTCATAATTTGAACTGGGGTGGCGAATTCGAGCAGCTATTCACACTTTTTATGATCGACGCCCGGGCATTCCGGCGAGTCGAGTCCGCCATGTTGTTTACTAATTTTGGTTAGCGTTTAACAATAGGACAATACCATTCGATCCATGGGGGTGACAGTCCTACGAATGTGCCGACATTGTCGAAGGACAAGGACAGGAAAAGTTTGTGCAAGTGTGGCGAGACTCCCGTAGTTACGCGGAAATTATTTACCTCATGTGAAAAAAAAGCATTTTCGAGCATACGTATCGAGACCAAACATAATTTGTCGATAATCGAGTGTTGCAAGAAAAAGTGAGATTGTAGCAAAATGTAGCAAATCGTTTTCAAAACAGTGCCGCTAAGAAAGTCTCGCTTTGTTTGCGCCCACTGTAAAACATGTATAGTAAACAAACCGCCCTTTTAGAAAATATTTGTATTAAAAATAAGTACAAGTCAACTAAAACGAAAATTAAAACATGTATAGTAAATAGACAGACACCCCGCCCTTGTGGAAAATATTTTTATGCAAAGTACAAGTCAACTAAAACGAAAATTAAAACATGTATAGTAAACAGACAGACAGGTTGGGAAAAGATCGATCACGGGGCGTGTATACAGAAAACTACTGGTATGTAGCTCGCCAACTGGGCTTGGGATCTCTCCATCGCGTCAAGTGGTCATTCATTCGCAAACGTGAATTCGTACAGCGGGCGATGAACTAAACTTGACCTTTCGATGTGTCGCTTCCAAGGCGTTGTGATACTCTCTTTATTACTACCTATATTTAATACAAGTAACCTGTAGAATGCTGTGTGGGTAATATTTTTATATTGATTTTTGCTGCATTTGCAGCAAATAGTTACCAAACAATGAGAAATCTATTGGATTAAATATACCTCTCAGGTGGCTTCACATGCATAGTTCAAGCCTGCCTAACCGGTGCTTATACCAGGATTTAGTTACAGCTTCATGTTCCCAGTAATCGCAAGAAATTGACATGACAATAGAAATTCATGAAAGACTGGCACTCCCATGCAATTAACAGCGAGTTAAATTCTTGGGATTGAAACATATATTTTGAAGTCACTGATGTAGGCAATGAATAACTTAAAGTTGACATAAAGACGAGGTAGTTTATGATTTAATCAGTGCTCAACTAGAGGCTGAAATTATAATTAATTTGTTTATTTCAATTTCTCCTGAAGTCAAATAGAATACACTGGTGAAACACGATAGTACCCATGGGCGAAAGGATGTTTTGGGGTGTAGTTTACATTGTGTAT